CTTGGACAAAATGCAATCCTCTGAAAGAGGTTCTCTGTGTGTTGCATATCTGCTCCGCTTGATCCTCCCTTGTGGGATCTCTGTTCTGAGGCGTTCAACATCTGAGCCATACTTAATGACTCTGGGTTGTTCACGTTCAGTATCTCAGGTTGCTTAATCCTGGGGAAGGAGGTCTTGCAAGGTTCACGTTTGCTTAATTCGTGTAGTGAGGTCTCATGTTAGTCTTCGCTTAGTTGATTAATCATGGACTGAACAGGATTATGTTTGGACAGATTATTTGTTGTGAACCAAGGAAATCAGAGGTGCATTATGTTCAGGGGTCTGACCTATTTTAATTACTGCAAGTAATCCATACTTCTGCTCGTTTTATTTAACTCGATAATCTGAACCAACCCCCCCCACTGTGTGTTTGAACCTTTGACTGAGACAATTGGTCCTTGGGAGACGACCTAGGAGTCACTTCCTAGTACTACATTAATTGTTTTTTATTTGACCGGGTACGGCCTCGATCAATGATCAAGACATTTAAGTGTTTGAAAATATGGGAGAAAGAGTCATTTATGAGTTACAGGTTGGTAGATAGAAAAAACAGTAGGGAATAAGATGTGTTGACATGATGTATCTCTATCCTTCCTACTTCTCCACACATTTCCTTTTCAAAAACCAAGGTAGATAATGATGGTAAGCATTAAAGGGAATTTAATAGACATGATACCTTTTTAGAATAACACAATACATTAGTGTACATATAACAATATAAAATATGCACAGACTAATGCATGTCCACATATGCATAAGATGATCCATGTTAGATGAAGCATGGTAAGACGATGCAACAAAGAGTAAGACAATGAAACATTCTTCTCTTTTGAAATACATTTTAGGTTAAGTTGGTCTCTAATGAATCTAAAATATTTCGTAGCTAAAGCCTTTGTAAAAATATCATCCCATTAGTGATTAATGTCAATAAGTTTTATGTCAAAAGCTTTTTTTGAACATAATCAGGAATGAAATGATATTTTATTTCAATGTACTTACCCTTTGAATTTTGTATAGGATTTTTAAAAATATTTATAACACTTGTGTTATCGTAGAAAATGGGTATATAATTTTCAAAACTAGAATAGTCTTCTAATTTATACTTCACCAATAGGAGATATGAGCGACATCTTTCTGTAGGAATGTACTTTGTCTCTATAATGGAGAGAGTTATTGAATTTTGCTTCTTATTGGCCCATGAAATGCGATAGTTGCCCAAGAAGGGACATCCTCCACTTGTATTTTTTTATTTCAATCCTATCTCCAACATAGTCTACATTGTAGAATCTTGCTAACCTAAAATCATTCACTACTACAAAATTACTATTTTACATCGCTATATTTACATCGGTTCTAGTAGAACCGATGTAAATCATAAACGCGGTGGCAAACTTGTAAATAAATAAGAAAAAATAAATAAATTTACATCGGTTTCGCTTATAACCGATGTAAAAATAAAATTCTGGAGATGTTCTGCATCGGTCTTGCTTATGACCGATGTAGAAATGAGAACCTAATTTTGCCCCTCTCGCTTTTCAGCAACGTAAACCCAGCCGCCTCCTCCCACTCCCAATCCCTCTCCCCCATCCACCAAACCCTAAACCTCATGCTTTCCTCCAGCCTCGCCCCCGACGTCGCTACTGCCGACATCGTCGTCCGCGCCCTCCGCCTCCCCAACACAACCATCTCCTACGAGCCCTCCTCCACTGCACCCGCCACAAAGACCTCCGTAAAGGTCGAGCCTTGCATGCTCTTATCCGCAGAACCAGTTCCATCTCCGCCACCTACCCTCGCGAACACGCTCTTAGCCTCTACGCCAAGTTCGGCCACATCGCCAAAGCCACCCTCGTGTTCCACACCATCACCCACAAAGACGCCGTCTCATGGAACTCACTCATCAACGCCTTCTCCCAGCAACAATCCCACGCCACCTCTCTACACGCCGTGCGCCTCTTCCGCAGCATGATGGGACACAACACCCTCCTCGACGCCCACACCTTCGCCGGCCTCTTCACCGCCGCCTCCACGCTTTCCGACGCCTGCGCCGGCCTCCAGGCCGTTTCGTGCATTTATGGTTTATTCTTCATTTTACTAATGATATTATTAGTAATCAGTCATTCCTGTTTTCTTCATTTTTTACAATTTGCCACTTTTTATTTTATTTTATTTTTTTATATTTTGCATCTTGTCTGATTTTGCGGTGATTAACCAAGCAGATAATGTCAGTAAAGGCTATATCACTAATCTTGTTGTGGTGTAACCAAATCAAAAGAGATGCTCCACATAACTCTGCTTTCACTTTTATATGGCAATTCTTCTAGAGGACTACTAGCTCTTCACTTTCTTGCTCAGAGGTAGCTTGCATACATTAGATGAATTTTCTGTTATAAAATTTGTGAGTTTCTGTCAAAATTGAAGTGTTTGATGATATACTTGTTGCTATGTATGTCTAATGCAGATGGGAGCAGAAATTTCTCTTGCAACATATGAAGCATTAGTTTCTGTTGTCAGAGTTCTTGCTTCAACATACTTTCCTCATTTCTTTAATCTCGTTAAGGAAAATAAGCAATTGTGTTCAGAGACAGAAGGAAGGCCTCAGTTAGATTATATGTGTGCATCTTTCATTCAAAATATCAATGTTCTCCTAGGGTCAGGAGTTTTGACAAGAACTCGAAGGGCTGTTTTGTTGGATATAAAGGTCTCAATCTGTCTTTGTCACAGGGGCACATATCTTTATTGCCATAATATCTTATCTTTATTGCCATAATTTATTTTTTTGGATTGTGATAATTGGACTCTGCAATTTGCATATTCATTTCCTCTTTTATTAATGTTCTGATCATTCATTACCTGTGTCCTGGCATATTATCCTTTCAACTAATCTGTTCCACTTAACGGTCATAAAGCTTAAGCAGTTAATACAATGGTTAGTTTTCACTAGTTATAGGATGTTAAGTAATATATTGGAAAATTTTAACTGATTTATTACTGATTCAGTGGGTGTGCCTAGAATCTTTGCTGTCAATTCCTTCGTGTGCTCTCAAGAATGGATTTTATATTCATTTTAACTGATTTATTCGCCGCGAGCTCCCTCCTCAACATGTACTGCAAAACGGGCCTCGTTTCGGAGGCGCGTCACCTGTTCGATGCAATGCCCGAGAGAAACGCGGTTTCGTGCATTGTTAATTTATTTTTAAATTTTTTGGGTTTAGGGCATTACTAACAATTGATTCCATAAATTATGTAGATAAATTCATGAATACTTTTGACTTGATCAATGGTTGCTAATAATATCTTTTTGTCTTATAGGTATTGGTTATGACACCCCAGGTTCTTTTGAATGCCTTAAGAAAAGCATTCCTGCGTATAGAAATGATAAGCCTGATAATTATTGATGAATGTCATAGAGCTATTGGCAACCATCCCTATACACAAATAATAAAGGTGAGTACTGGAAAACATTCCTTGTTTTTTTCCCTTGTATTTTACTAGTTTGTATATGATTTCTACTCTTTTTGTCTATTCATTTTTTGGGTTAGAGAATATATTTACAAATAACTATTGTCTTATGCCAATGAAGGAATTTTATCACCAAGCTGACGAAAAGCCAAAAAATTTTGCGATGACAGCATCACCGGTAGGAGAAAAAGGTAATTGTTTACGTGCAAACTTTGAGAAACAACCATGGGTTGTGATATCCAATTTACTCCCAATCATATTATTTATTTTGTAGTAGTTTTGCTCCTTCATTTTTTTTAAAAATAAATTATTTCCATTCATTGATGTACTGTATAAATTTAAATATCTTTTTCTACCACAAAAAAATAAATAAATGAAAAGGACACTTATAGAACAAAAAATATAGTTTAGTGAAGACAGCTATGGATACTTACCATAAAAGAAACAATGCATTAAATTTGAAGTAGAATAATCTTCTAAAATTTGTAAAGAGCTAGAACTTATTCCACTCTGTTCAAGTTATTCCCCTGAAATGCTATAACTTATTTGACATTTGAATTTTACTTTATAATAGCAAGTGTTGATTACTATCTGTCACTGTCTATTGTTTAGGCTGGACAAAGCCAATATGCATTGGAAGACATGCTTTTGGAGACCAAGGCGTGTGGCAGCTATGGCCCACTCATGGTATAGTAGGCTGCACCCAACCAAGGCGTGTGGCAGCTATGAGTGTTGCCAAGAGAGTCAGCGAGGAGATGGATACAGAGTTGGGTGATGAAGTTGGCTATGCTATACGTTTTGGGGGGTTTGCTCTTAATTTTATAGTTTCTTTTAAATGATTGAAATCTTTAATGTGATAAATTAAAACTGATAATTTGTTTGTGTAATTTTTGTTATTGTAATTTGGTGGCCAAATTAATCTTGATTGACAATATTTGTCCATTATATATAGAAAAAAAAGAATCCAAAAACAAGCATATTTTTTTTTAAAAAAAAAATGCAATCTACATCGGTTCTCAAGCATAAATCTACATCGGTTCTCAGGAGAACCGATGTAGATTTATGCTTAAATCTACATCGGTTTTTCAGAACCGATGTAAAAATGTATACATTTTCTACGTCGCTCTATTCTACATCGGTTTTAGAACCGATGTAGATGACTTTAAAGAACCGATGTAAAATATGCATCTTGTAGTAGTGATTATTTTTCTCACAAAATAATTTGAGGTTAGTGGAACCTACAAGACATCTAAAGATACATTTTACAACTTTAAGATGAGACTCTCTAAACATGATGTCAAGTCTGCTTGCAGTGAGGTAATGAAGAAATGCAATCATACCTTTGTAGTTCTTTTGATCTACTAGCTTACTTGATTCATCTTTTGAAAAACTCATAATGTCTCTAAAACGTAACAGCTCTTTTAAGCCTTACGTCTTTAGTTCCTTTATGAGTTACCCCATAGCTTCTCACATCTTTTTAGCAGTCCTACAACTATAAAACTTGTTGTACTCTATTCTTGACAAAGAACAAGCTAAGGTCTATCTTGCCTTTGTGTTGAGTTACTAGATGTTGTAGTTTGCTTGCATGCTTGGTTTTATGACTTGATTATCAGAATATCATCGCCTGTTATGATCTTCCAAAGGTGATATATGATGGAATTAATGTACATCTCCATTTTATCCTTCAAATATAGGTAGTCTTATTCATTAAAGGTCAGAGGCCTTGTAAGAGAAGATCTTTCTAGCAAATAATGTCCTTCACTACTTCCCATCTTAGGATCTTTTCCATTAGCATGGATAAAAAGACACTATGGAGAAAAGAAAGACACTAGAAAGGAGTTGAATAATGTCAATCAAAATCTCAACACTTTTATGAAACAACGAAGTAGTAATGAATCCTTAAGGAATTTAGACGAAGCAAAAGACAAAGAACACAAGGTATTTTTATATTAGTTTTTCTCAACCACTAAGACTACAACCAGTTCTTGATTAAGTTACACTATCTTTTATAAGATAAAATTATTCTTTCACAAGTCACTTCTAGCTCAATCTAAATATTATTTGACATGCCTTTTCAAGAAAACTACCCAAGTAATTTCTGAACAACAAAGTCTCTCTAAGCTTCAAAATCAATTATTCTTTAAACAAAAAATCCTTTTTAGGCTTCTAACTAAAACACCTAGTTAATGTTGGGTAAGAATAACTTTTTTTTCCTATTTCTCACAAGAGGCAATACAACTTTACAAAGATTTACATAGAAAAAAATGAAATAGTTGAATTTGTTTTCTTTTCTTTTTGATTTTTCAAGCCTTTTTATATAGGCGGATGATGAAGATGACTGTTGCAAATCCGTGAGCTTCACTTGTAGGCTTACTTTGTCTTTCTATATCTTTATTCCTTGTAGAGTAAGATGTTCGTTGGTGCATTAAATGCATTTCATCAAGTGGTCACTTCTCTTTTGATCAAGGAGACTACTTATTACCTTTTTGGTACAAAATAGGGTTTATTGCATATACGTATCAATTAGAAATGACAGTTTAGATGTCTCCACTTGGCTTAAGATATCTTCTTGTCATTTCGCTAACGAAAAGAAAATCTCTATTCCTTTATGAAGTTTGAGTACCAAAAAAGTTTTTATTCCTTTGATATGTTAAGGAATAACATAGAAACATATGATATGGTCATTAGACATAATGAATGATAAATTCAATCCATTTGTCTTAGACAAACAAAGTGTTTTGTTTAAGATACTTGTCAAAAGACATATCATCACATAGAATTGTCTTATGCTATTGTCTTATTTGTATGATCTTAAAAACAATATTTTTTCAAAAACATAAGAGTTTGTTACCATGAAAACAGCTATTCCTAAAAGATCTAAGGTCGTCCTTTGATCTAACATAAACTTTTTTCTTGAATTGAGAAATCTTTACAAATTTCGCATGAGTAATTCACTCATTTTCTCAAGGTTTTGCTCACAATAATTTTCTCTTTTTTTGATGGAAACCTCAAGAAGATATTTGATTGATGTAGCTTATCTTTCAAGCTTCTTCCCAGATATTTGACTTCTTGACTCTTATTAATCTTCAAAGAGTTCTCCAATGGAGAGAAAAAACTTGTGATTCACCTTCAAAGGTGAAAAACTCTCTTCAAGTGGTGCCACTTCAAGGAAGAAGATAAACCACTTCAAATCTCACCACACTCTTAAGATGAGGATAAGAGAATTAGAAGAAAATTAAAAAGAGAATTAAGCTTTTGAGAGAGAGAATGCTAGAGATAAAACTCGGTCAATCTCAATAAAATGGTCAAAAGTGAGTACAAGTGGTTCCAAAAACCTATATATAGAGCTTAGGTAGCTTGGAGAAGAAGCTAGACATCTAGAAGACAAGGAGACAGTTAGATCTAGATCCTCCAATCACAAACAAGCTCTAGGAGACATGTTTGAGACATGTAGGAGACATCTAGATATAGAAGAGCCAATGAGCAAGTGCCAAGTGTCCTATTGTCTCTAGGTGATTGGATAAGTAGTTCTAAGGTAGGAAGTAGCCAAAATGGGCGGCCAAGGTGGCCTTTGGCTTGTCTTGGCTAAACCAAACACCAAGGAATTGGTTTGCTTTGGTTAATTAAATGAAGGTTAAACCAAGTCAAATCAATTCCTTGGGCCAAGAGAAGAAAAACAAACCTTTTATCACTTTTGGCTAGTTCCACACCTTTACTACTTCAACACCATCTAGAATGACGATTTACACACCACTAGAATAACTATTCCCACTCCAACTACTAAGACTCAAGAAAACTAAAAATGGTGACCATGAATACAAGGTCAAAAGGAATACATTTCAATAAGGAACATGTCTCTAAATATGACCTACAACAAGAAAAACATACTCCCTTAAATACAAGGGTAAAATAACCTATACAATTAACTACTACAAACAAAGGGATGGAAAACAAACTATACAATAGAAGGCTAGGCAACTAAGAAGAAAACACATACTCTATACTCATGATAAGCACATGTCTAAGAAGTACATCCTCTCTAGTAGATTCTTCTAACCTCCTAACCATAGACATTGTCAAAGGTCCTATGGTTTTCAAAAATGGTCCTCCATCACTCTTTTTCTCTTGAAAGAAACATTTTTCTCTCTTAGAAACACCCATCAATTTTTATGATGTGTGAACTCTCCTAAATGTTTCATGTCTTTGATTACTACATTCATGTAATCAATTACTTAGAACATTTTAAACATATTAGAAAACCAAGGGTTCATGTAATCGATTGCTTTGTTCTAATAATTAGTTACATTAAGTGATTTGTCTTGACCATTGATATTTGATTCACTATTTATTGTTTACAACATGTTTGTTGTTAGATTTTGAAACATCTTTTGATTCATTTTTAATTTGTTTTAATGATTTAGAAACCAAGACAAGGAGATTAGCTTAACCTATCTACTTGTCTAATTGACCAATACTTACACAAATAAAAAATTAACCTATCCTATTAAAATATAACATATCTTCTTATTTTTTGACTCCTTAACATCATTAAAGAGAAAATATCACAACACTTCTTTAAATCTAAAATCTAAAAGTGAAAAATTTTTATTTAGAAAAATAGAAGAAAAAAGTCGTCACTAAAAATTTTCATTTAGAATAATTTTTTTAAAAGTTATATTTTATGTATGAGAAAATTGATAGATAACTATATATGTAATATATTAACTAAATACTTATTTTAGTTTTTAAATTTAAAAGATATTGTCATATTAATTTTAAATTAAAACTTATAACATTAATCTTTGAAACGTCAAATGAATCTTTAATTTAAATATTAGCACTATTTTAGTTTATAATATATATCAATATTATTATTTTAATTATATATTTGTATTTTATAAATATCAATTTATCTTTTTTAATGAAGGGTCACCGGTGATGTAACAAGCTAACAAGGTGTACCATAGGGTCACCAGTGATGATATGTGAATCTTCCTTATGGCGCCACATGCATGCATTTATGAGTCGAGTCCATGACATCATAAGCATGATAAATGAGTATATATGTGATATTGATTATTTATGTGTATTGTTTACATGTGACTTTATTTGTTGTGCGTGTGTGTGCTATCTAACCTTTATTTCTGCACCTGAAACTGAGTGAGATGTTTCTCACTCCCTTGTTGTTCTTGTATATGTTTAAATTATGTTGCAGGTGATCATCATCATGAGGATATTGGTGATGAGGCTTAAGGGTTCAGTTGGGTATGCTCTGATAGGATGTGACATCGGGCATAGCTAGGCTTAGTTTGGGATATTATTGTTTTAGAAGCCTTTTCTATTCTTTTGTAATTTTGAACATTTTTTATAAAAGACCAAAATGTACATCTTTGTTATATTACTTTTATTACATGATTTGAAAATTATAAATTATTTCCTAATTAGGAGGCACTGCCACCTTGCTGGAATTAATCTATATTTTCTTTATATGATTTCTTGTGTTTTGATACTTACGTGTTGACCTTTTTATGATTTATGAATTACGAGTTACGAATGTGAATCTTCTACCTTGTGATATTTGAGACATTTGTCAACTACGAAAGATTTTATTTACTCAAAAAGAAAAAGAAAGAAAAAAATTGTTTACATTTATTGTGTATTAATGTTGGGGTAGAGGGTGTCACATATATATATTTCCAAACTGTTCAAATGAACAATTCAAGATTTAATATAATGATTATACATTAATTGTGTAATCATTATATTTAATCTCAAATGGAAAATTAAGATTCATTCACAATTGATCAATTTTAATAAATATAATATAAGACTATGAGATAACTTAACATATAATTATGCTTAGTTAAAATACACTCATAAAATCAACAAATATAATCTACACATGTAACTAAGCATGACAAGACAACAAAAATTAAATTAAAAATAATTAAAATATTCATTTAACTATTACTAA